GCCCCCCCTCAAGTGAAATTTGAATATTTTTTTGATTGATTTGGGTAGATATTCGTTAGGTCAGGCTTGATCAACTGTTTTTTTCGTTAGATCTATCACGCAAGAGGCGGTATTCACTACCTAACTTTGTGGGCGTGACTACGGGTTAGCCCCCCCTCAAGTGAAATTTGAATTTTTTTTTATTGATTTTGGTAGATATTCGTTAGATCAGGTTTGATCAACTGTTTTTTTCGTTAGATCTATCATGCAAGAGGCAGTATTCACTACTTAACTTTGTGGGCGTGACTACGGGTTAGCCCCCCCTCAAGTGAAATTTGAATTTTTTTTTATTGATTTTGGTAGATATTCATTAGGTCAGGTTTGATCAACTGTTTTTTTCGTTAGATCTATCACGCAAGAGGCGGTATTCACTACCTAACTTTGTGGGCGTGACTACGGGTTAGCCCCCCCTCAAGTGAAATTTGAATATTTTTTCATTGATTTTGGTAGATATTCGTTAGATCAGGTTTGATCAACTGTTTTTTTCGTTAGATCTATCACGCAAGAGGCGGTATTCACTACTTAACTTTGTGGGCGTGACTACGGGTTAGCCCCCCCTCAAGTGAAATTTGAATTTTTTTTTATTGATTTTGGTAGATATTCGTTAGATCAGGTTTGATCAACTGTTTTTTTCGTTAGATCTATCACGCAAGAGGCGGTATTCACTACCTAACTTTGTGGGCGTGACTACGGGTTAGCCCCCTCTCAAGTGAAATTTGAATTTTTTTTATTGATTTTGGTAGCTATTCGTTAGATCAGGTTTGATCAACTGTTTTTTTCGTTAGATCTATCACGCAAGAGGCGGTATTCACTACTAACTTTGTGGGCGTGACTATGGGTTAGCCCCCCCCTCAAGTGAAATTTGAATTTTTTTTTTTATTGATTTTGGTAGATATTTGTTAGATCAGGTTTGATCAACTGTTTTTTTCGTTAGATCTATCACGCAAGAGGCGGTATTTACTACTTAACTTTGTGGGCGTGACTACGGGTTAGCCCCCCCTCAAGTGAAATTTGAATTTTTTTCCATTGATTTTGGTAGCTATTTGTTAGATTAAGTAAGATCAACTGTTTTTTTCCGTAAGATCTATCACGCAAAAGGCGGTATTCACAATCTTATTTTAATTTTGCACATAAATACCAGTAAATTTTCATATCAAGCCACAGGTGACATCATAATTTAGGAATTTGCTTGGATTTGCTAACACAATGTGTAGATCATTTTCAATATTTTTTTTTTATTCTCTACATGCACAGTATTGAGGTGATAAAGTCCAGCATATGCCCAGTCTGAACTTATTAGTGATATTTGAATACAGTTGCAAGAAAAAGTATGTGAGCCCTTTGGAATGATATGGATTTCTGCACAAATTGGTCATAAAATGTGATCTGATCATCATCTAAGTCACAACAATAGACAATCACAGTCTGCTTAAACTAATAACACACAAAGAATGAAATGTTGCCATGTTTTTATTGAACACACCATGTAAACATCCACAGTGCAGGTGGAAAAAGTATGTGAACCCCTAGACTAATGACATCTCCAAGAGCTAATTGGAGTGAGATGTCAGCCAACTGGAGTCCAATCAATGAGATGAGATTGGAGGTGTTGGTTACAGCTGCCCAGGTCAGGAGTAATTCTTGACCATTCCTCGTTACAGAACTGTTTCAGTTCAGCAATATTCTTGGGATGTCTGGTGTGAATCGCTTTCTTGATGTCATGCCACAGCATCTCAATCGGGTTGAGGTCAGGACTTTGACTGGGCCACTTCAGAAGGTGTATTTTCTTCTGTTTAAGCCATTCTGTTGTTGATTTACTTCTATGCTTTGGGTCATTGTCCTGTTGCAACATCCATCTTCTGTTGAGCTTCAGCTGGTAGACAGATGGCCTTAAGTTCTCCAGCAAAATGTCTTTGGAATTTGGGAATTCATTTTTCCTTCGATGATAGCAATCCGTCCAGGCCCTGACGCAGCAAAGTAGCCCCAAACCATGATGCCCCCACCACCATACTTCACAGTTGGGAAGAGGTTTTGATGTTGGTGTGCTGTGCCTCTTTTTCGCCACATATAGTGTTGTGTGTTTCTTCCAAACAACTCAACTTTGGTTTCATCTGTCCACAGAATATTTTGCCAGTACTGCTGTGGAACATCCAGGTGCTCTTGTGGAAACTGTAAACATGCAGCAATGTTTTGTTTGGACTGCAGTGGCTTCCTCTGTGGTATCCTCCCATGAAATCCATTCTTGTTTAGTGTTTTACGTATTGTAGATTCGCTAACAGGGATGTTAGCATTTGCCAGTGACTTTTGTAAGTCTTTAGCTGACACTCTAGGATTCTTCTTCACCTCATTGAGCAGTCTGCGCTGTGCTCTTGCAGTCATCTTTACAGGACGGCCACTCCTAGGGAGAGTAGCAGCAGTGCTGAACTTTCTCCATTTATAGACAATTTGTCTTACCGCGGACTGATGAACAGCAAGGCTTTTGGAGATACTTTTATAACCCTTTCCAGCTTAATGCAAGTCAACAGTTCTTAATCGTAGTTCTTCTGAGAGCTCTTTTGTGCGAAGCATCATTCACATCAGGCTATGCTTCTTGTGAAAAGCAAACCCAGAACTGGTGTGTGTTTTTTATAGGTCAGGGCAGCTGTAACCAACACCTCCAATCTCATCTCATTGATTGGACTCCAGTTGGCTGACATCTCACTCCAATTAGCTCTTGGAGATGTCATTAGTCTAGGGGTTCACATACTTTTCCACCTGCACTGTGGATGTTTACATGGTGTGTTCAATAAAAACATGGCAACATTTCATTCTTTGTGTGTTATTAGTTTAAGCAGACTGATTGTCTATTGTTGTGACTTAGATGATGATCAGATCACATTTTATGACCAATTTGTGCAGAAATCCATATCATTCCAAAGGGCTCACATACTTTTTCTTGCAACTGTATTCAAATATCACTAATAAGTTCAGGCTGGGCATATGCTGGACTTTATCACCTCAATACTGTGCATGTAGAGAAAAAAAAAAAAATATTGAAAATGATCTACACATTGTGTTAGCAAATCCAAGCAAATTCCTAAATTATGATGTCACCTGTGGCTTGATATGAAAATTTACTGGTATTTATGTGCAAAATTAAAATAAGATTGTGAATACCGCCTTTTGCATGATAGATCTTACGGAAAAAACAGTTGATCTTACTTAATCTAACAAATAGCTACCAAAATCAATGAAAAAAAATTCAAATTTCACTTGAGGGGGGGCTAACCCGTAGTCACGCCCACAAAGTTAAGTAGTAAATACCGCCTCTTGCGTGATAGATCTATCGAAAAAAACAGTTGATCAAACCTGATCTAACGAATATCTACCAAAATCAATAAAAAAAAATTCAAATTTCACCTGAGGGGGGGCAAACCCATAGTCACGCCCACAAAGTTAAGTAGTGAATACCGCCTCTTGCGTGATAGATCTAAGTAGTGAATACCGCCTCTTGCGTGATAGATCTAACGAAAAAAACAGTTGATCAAACCTGATCTAACGAATATCTACCAAAATCAATGAAAAAATATTCAAATTTCACTTGAGAGGGGGCTAACCCGTAGTCACGCCCACAAAGTTAGGTAGTGAATACCGCCTCTTGCGTGATAGATCTAATGAAAAAAACAGTTGTTCAAACCTGTTCTAATGAATATCTACCAAAATCAATAAAAAAAAAAAATCTAATTTCACTTGAGGGGGGGCTAACCCGTAGTCACGCCCACAAAGTTAAGTAGTGAATACTGCCTCTTGCGTGATAGATCTAACGAAAAAAACAGTTGATCAAACCTGATCTAATGAATATCTACCAAAATCAATAAAAAAAAATTCAAATTTCACTTGAGGGGGGGCTAACCCGTAGTCACGCCCACAAAGTTAGGTAGTGAATACCGCCTCTTGCGTGATAGATCTAACGAAAAAATAGTTGATCAAACCTGATCTAACGAATATCTACCAAAATCAATAAAAAAAAAATTCAAATTTCACTTGAGGGGGGCTAACTCGTAGTCACGCCCACAAAGTTAAGTAGGGAATACCGCCTCTTGCGTGATAGATCTAACGAAAAAAACAGTTGATCAAACCTGATCTAATGAATAGCTACCAAAATCAGTAACATTTTGTCCAAATTTCAGTTGAGGGGGGGCCAGCCCCCCCTAATTATATATGCAATATCTCAGTAATTAGACTAGATCAAACAAAAATTTTGCCTGATCAAACCTGATCTAACGTAGAGCTATCATAATCAACAACATGTTCTCCAAATTTTTGTTGAGGGGGGGCTGGCTACGGGTTAGCCCCCCCCTGACAATGATTGTTAATATCGCATATTTTAGAGTAGATCTAACGAAAAAAATTGTTGATCAAACCTGATCTAACAAAGATCTAACAAATGGAATAATCTTTTGTTAAAATTCTCAATATGGGGGGGCTAACCCGGGGGTGGTCAATTAATCGATCATAAATTATATTTATATTTATATATATACACATACATACATCCAATAAGGAGCACTATCTGGAAATTTTTCAAATAGCGTATTCAAACGAAGATCAACGTTTTGACCCTGCTGGGTCTTTATCAAGATACCTGTGTCTAGTAGGGTCAAAACAATGTTTATTTGGTGAATACACAGAAAAATTCCCAGAGTGCTATTTATTGCGTGGAGGTAAATTCAGTGATGGGCAGCACCCAGGTGGTTATTAGGGTTTGTTTGTGGTTGCAGGGGAGGGAAGAAAGAGAGAGAGACTTTTCCCTCTCAGTTTTTCATGTAACTGTTTCCATTGTCAATCACCCTACACATAAACTGCCTTCAATATTATTTATAAAGTGCCAACACATTCCACAGCGCTGTACAATATCAGTTCCTCCCAGTCTCCTGTGTTTACGTGTATTACCGCCTGTATCATGATTCCCGCTATCCCTCCTATTACATGTCCCTTCGTTGTCTGTTCCCTGATCTCGGACTCTCACTTATATTTCACATGTTGGCTCGCTACAAGATGAAACCTTCCCCCCCCCTAATTCCTGACACAATTCACACTTTAATGATAAACTCAAAGATATTGTGGTAATCCATTCTATAGACTTACTTTGTCCCACATTTGTATTTCTCTTATTAATGGACGTAAACACAAGGTTTTCAAAGATGAATAGTTTTAATTCAAAACACCAGTACAACCAAGTTATACCGTGAGTACAGAATTGCTTTAAGAAAATATGTATTTATAAAAAAACACAAAAATAAAACATGCAGAAAACTTAGCATTTAACCCTTTCCCTGTAAAGTCTAAACGTTATTATATGCTCTATGTTTAAAACATGATTTAGCAAGAAATAATGTCCTAAAGCAAAGCGAGTTAACTCTTTCTAAACTGAGCTGAGGAATGGATTACGAAAACAAAACAAAACTGGTGCAGAGTCTGAGCTTAAAGAGTCCCATATAAAACGATGGAACCTACAGCTGCGCATTGGAAGCAATTCCTAAATGCATTCTATTAAAAATTAACATTGACTAAAGTCAATAAAGGAAATACAATGCAGTCAAGTATATAAAAGTTCCTTTAAGAATCATCGTAAATGGAAGAGATGGATTTTAGTCTTCACTGATTTGGAAATGAAGATGGGCGGCTGCATGGTATATACAAAGTCAATATAGTCCTTTTTATGCCTTCTTGGCTCTGAGTGCTTTGGGCTTTGTAGCCTTCTTCACCTTCTTGGTTGCCCTGCTGGCTGTCGTCTTTTTGGGGCTCTTGGCTGGTGACTTGGCGCTGGTGGACTTCTTGGCTGGCTTTGCCTTCTTGTGGCTCTTTTTAGGAGTGCTGGCAGACGCTGCCTTCTTCTTGGCTGCTGGTTTAGCGGGCGCAGCCTTCTTCTCAGCGGGGAGACCCTCCAGCTTCTTCTTGTTGAGCCTAAAGGATCCATTGGCCCCAATTCCCTTGACCTGGAGCAAGGTGTCATTCTGGACCAGAGCCTTGATGGAGTACTTGAGGTATGTGCGTCCATTCTGCTGGTCAAACCAGGACACCTTCTTAGCCTCGCTGTAGATTTTGGCCAGGGAGGATCCATTTCTCTCGCCCAGCTTCCTGATGGTGTCCACCACTAGCTGGCTGTACCTTCCAGGCTGGTTCTTCTTTTTGGTAGCCTTCTTGGCACTGCCTGCTGCCTTGGTGGCTTTCTTTGCTGGGGTAGCTGGGGCGACCTCTTGTTGCTCCTGTGCCATGGCTGCAGATTTTAAGAAGCTGCGCTAAAGTTCAGCTCAGACTGGTTGCAGAGCCGCAGGCTCCTCCTCGCTTTATAGACAGAGAGCGGACCACGTTGAGAACAATAACAGCTCCCAGCCACAGCTTCTGTGCAACTTGTGTTTTTCTTATCGCCTTTCTCCCCGGTTCCTCCAAAACTCAGCACCCCACTGGAACCGGACTTGGGGCCATCGGGACCCCCAGACTGTTCTGTGAAAACCTGCCTTGAAATCCGGGGCGGTCTACAAGGTGTTAACCCTTTAAAATCGGTTTCAGACCGTGCACCCCATGCTGGCACAGGCGGCGGGGAGGAGAGGCATGCGGTTTAGGGGCCCCTTTGGACAGGGGATCATTGTTTTGGTGGGGTGACTTACACCCAGGATTGAAGAGGACATAGGGGAGGAGTGATGGGTGGGGTTCTCGGGTTTCTTGGTCGGGTGGTTGGCGAAATACAGGGGGTTTAATTTGTTGGAAGTAACACAGAGAGGTCCTCACGTGATCTGGGATCTGGGGTGGGCGATGGACATGAATTGGTGGGTTCTGTGTGATTGAGAAAGGGGGTAACGTGCCCCCACCCGCCCCCTGTGCCCCTGCTCCTGCCAAACTTGGGCTAAATGTGGATTTTATTTACATTTAACTCCATTTTAGTTATGGGCTGGGGAAGGAAGTGGGAAGAGTCCTATATAAGAAGCTTTGCTGTCTCTCTATATGCAGCACTTTACAAAGGGGGATTTAGGGGGACAGTGAGGGGGTATCTTCCCAAACGTACTGGTGGGGGAGCAGTTATTAATGTTTGGGAGGAGGTTGTAGGGGGTCTCACTTGCTGCAACAATAAAAGGACAAATGCATTGATGCTTTGTGAGAGTTTTACTTTTTAAAGGGGGGTGGGGGCTATATAATAATAATAAATTTAACCAGGAAGTGTACATTCAGATTGCTCTGGTTTCCAAATACTTCCTGGGAATGTTACCTTAGCCCAACATCCAGGGGATGTCATGTTACTATATTGTATTTTTCTGTGGTTTAAGAGGTAGGTCCACATGATATACTTTGAATGTGTTTAGTGTTTGGCAAAAATCCACGTGTCTTACCAATTTTGTTTATTATTAGTGTGTGTTTATATGTCAGTCATTTTTTTTTTTTTTTTTAAATCATTTGTACAGCCTAGACTTCAAGTAGTCCTGCAATCTTTTGGCGAAAGAACAGCTAACCCTGACATTGCAGGTGTGGTTAAGCAGTAATTCCTATGATCTCAGCCAGCCACTGATATAAAAGAGTGTTGTGTTTTTGAAATGCTGGAGATGCTTTTCTTACAGGACCACTCTAGGTACCCAGACCACTTCAGCTTAATGAAGTGGTCTGGGTGCCAGGTCCATCTAGGGTTAACCCATTTTTTTTATAAACATAGAAGTTTGTAAATGGGTTAATCCTTCCTCCAATTCCTCTAGTGGCTGTCTCATTGACAGCCGCTAGAGGCATTTGCGTGATTCTCACTGTGAAAATCACAGTGAGAACACGCAAGCGTCCATAGGAAAGCATTGTAAATGCTTTCCCAGGAGACCAGCTGAATGTGCGCGCAGCTCTTGCCGTGCATGCGCATTCAGCCGGGAAGGAGGGGGACCCTGAGGGTGGGGGCACCCTCAGGGCACTATAGTGTCAGGAAAACGAGTATGTTTTCCTTGCACTATAGTGGTCCTTTAATATCCAGTGGGTGATTGTTGCGTATGTCATATTAATAAGGGATGACATACATGATAGGTGTGCCATTTGTTGTTAAGGAGTTAAAATAAACAATTATACAGTAACATTCCTTTCTGTGTATGACGTTTGTTTCCATGCAGTTTGCTACACGAACGTGTCATTTTTACCACCAAGTTATCCTATAAATAAATGCGTTGTCTTATGACTAATGTTTAACCCCTTCAAGTAAGATGGCTCTCCAACACTGTTATTGTAAATAGGTATTTGCCAAAACCCCATCTCAAGAGTAAACTAGGTTCAAGGCATTGGAGTTCTGTGAAGTTTATTAGCTAAACAATAAATTGTATCAGATTCAGATATGAATGTGAAAATTCAGGTGAATTATTAGCTTTATTGGAAACTGTTCTCAAACTCCGCTATAGTCACATCTTGGAATTTCAGCCTAAATCTGATAATGTCTGGATTATCTAAATAATGAATTACTGCTTGGCTGCAGTGTGACTGAGGATGATAGGTGTTGCAGGGGGTTGGACTCTAGGAGATCTGGTGAATCAGAGAAAGGTATTGACTGAATAGTGAAAACAGGCAACTTGAACTTGACAGGCCTAATACTAGTATAATTATCGGTAAACCGCTATTGCTTTACACACTTAAGGACAGAGGCCAATGTCCACATTCTGAATCAAAACAAAACCTAGATTTTGAGCTATATGTTTGTTCCACCATAATTTTCCTCTTTGACGCTAAGTGCACCCACGCTTATTATATATAATTTTGTATAGGAGTTTAAAAAAATATATATATGTTTATGTGAGGTTTGTCCAGAAAAAAGTCCAGCCATTGTTAATCTAACAAGAACGGTTTATGCGAACGGTTTATGCGTGAATAATGACGACTTCACTGTATTAGTCAAAGGTGGCAGTAGAGGCCGTTGAGTGAGCATGTGTACTGTGTGGCCGTCACATTCAATATGACTGAGTGAGTAGAGCAACAAATCTACATCAAATCTTGCATTAAGCTTGAACATTATACACTATAGTGTCAGGAATTCAGACATGTATTCCTAATGCTATGGTGTCCAGTTACCTTTATAGATGTTCCCAACCCCCAGTACAGGGTTTGTAAGTATTAGTCTCCGGGCTGCCAATCCACATCTTTGGTTTAGATCATTAATGTTTAGGACATAGGCGTGCGCACGGGGTGTGCCTAGGCACACCCTAATCCCCGTGGCCCGCGCTATGTGCCTCCCTCCATGGGCCTGTGAGGGAGATCAAAGATCTCCCTCACCGACCCACAGGAAGTGAGGAAGGCAGGAGAGCACCTGGGGAGCTCTTGCCAGCAGCTCCGCCGGGTTCCTCTCGCGAGATCTGAGCTAACTGCGGCAACGCTCAGATCTCGCGAGAATGAACTCTAGCCCCGCAAGATGCGGGGCTAGAGTTCACTCACCACTGGATCACCAGGGATGGCAGCAGCACGGTCCCCCCCTCCCTACAAAAGGTAAGAAGGGAGGGGGGATATTAACTAAATGGCCCCCCCACCCCCACACAATACACCACACACACACATACATCACCCTTACACACACAGCACCCTCACACACACACTAACAGCATCCTCACACATACACACACACACTAACATCACACACACACACATCACCCTTACACACACAGCACCCTCACACTAACAGCACCCTTACACATACACACACACACACTAACATCAAACACATAGATACAGCACCCTTATACACACATACAGCACCCTTTCATATACAGCGCCCTTACACACACAGCACCCACACACACAGCACCCTCACACACACAGCGCCATCACACACACAGCGCCATCACACACACACAGCGCCTTCACACACAAACAGCACCCTCACACACACAGCGCCCTTACACACACACAGCGCCTTCACACACACACAGCGGTATATGTGTGTGTGTGTATATATATATATATATATATATGTATATATACGCAGCGTGTGTGTTTGTGCTTTAGGGTGCACACCCTTATACAATAGGCTGAGCACGCCTATGGTTTAGGAAGTTTTGTGGGGCTAGTTCAAATGCATGGTAAAAGACTGCACTGTACCATTTAAATGGTGTTTGAGGAGCAGGAATTGATCTATAACAGAGTTTTACCCAGTTGAATGCCGGAAGACAGCCACTAGAGGCTTAGTAAATCTGCAATCCTAGCACTGCTGTTCCGAAAGAACATCAGTGTTTTCATTGCAGGCTTGAACAGTCAGGGATGTTCCACCAAGACCACTTCATTAATATTGGTCTGGATACCTTTAGTGTCTCTTTATGAAATATTTTTTTTTCTTTTACCTAAATATTAAAATTCAACAATGCCCCTATGTGCAGGTTTTCTAGGCTTATTGGAAGTTACAGGCCAAATATCAGCCCCAGTCTTCATATTAATTTGACAAATTTCTGGGTCTGTGTTGCCTTTGAGACGGCATGATGACACAGGAAAGGAAATTACCTCCATGATAGCATACTATTTTCAAAAGTAGACAACCAAGAGTATAAAAAAAATTTTTTTTTGCAACCACTTAGCCACAAAACCTTGGCTAAATTTTGTGAGTTTTTTTTTCCCCCTCAATTTTTCACATAAATGCTGCGCTTTCACTGTTGATATCATCATATCTTTTGGGGCCATTCTGGGCTCAAAATGGTGCACTGACTCATGGCCGGAGGCCTGGCATACGGCAGGGCTCACTCGGAACTTGGCATTTCTTGAGCTCTTCCCTATTCTGGTAGCGTTGGAGGTATGGGGTTCCCTGCTTGTGGACAGACGGGTGGTTTTCCATTGCGACAATCTGGGGGTGGTGCAGGCTATTAACCAACTGACTGCTTCTAACCCCCCCCCCCCGGTACGATTGCTGCGGCACTTAGTTCTGCGCTGTCTGGAGCTGAATGTGTATTGTAGGACTGTACACATCCCGGGTGTTCATAACGTGATGGCCGATGCTCTCTCTCGTTCACAGTGGGACATGTTTTGGGCAGTGGCTCCGCAAGCCGAACTGGAGGGCGTCCCGTGTCCGGCAGAGATGTGGTCATTGGGTCTGACAGACTAATGGAATTGGTCCGTGGGATGGTCGCTGCGGCCACATTGGGCACGCTATAACAAGGTTTGGATGGAATGGGACGGTTGGGAGAGGTCCCACGGGGGCTTTCGGGACTCACCCACTCACCTGCCGGGTCTGGTTCTTCTCTTGGGGGACTGGGAGGCCGTGGGGTTGTCTCCCTCGTCCATTGCTGAGCGTTTGGCGGGACTCAGCTTCCTGTTTAAGTTGCGGGCCAGGGAAGATGCTACCAAGGCGTTTATAGTACACCAGGCACTAAAGGGTTTGAAGCAGGGGAGGGTGTCTTCGCAGGACTCGAGGCGTCCTCTCTCGAGCTCTCTCCTAACTAGTTTGTGTGAGGCGTTGCACAGGGTTTGCCATTCGGAATTCAAGGTTTGGCTCTTTCGCCTGGCCTTTTCCCTGGCATTCTTTGGTGCCATGCGGATTGGGGAACTGGTGTGCCCCAATCAGCAGCAGGTTGGGGGTATTATTTGGGGACGTGACGGGCACTGCTGATCGGATCTCGTTCAGGATCCACTGCTCTAAGACTGATGTCTTGGGGAGGGGAAAATGGGTCCGATTGGGGACCATGCCGGGATCGGGCATTTGTCCAGTTTGGTCCTTTGGGGAGTATTGTGCCGTGCGCCCTTCTCCGGCGCTGCCCCTTCTGGTGCATGTCGATGGTAGTTTCCTTTCCCATTTCCAGTTTCCTAGAGTGTTTCATTTGGTGTAGATAGCAGGGAGTTCAGGGGGCATTCTTTACGTATTGGGGCGGCTACCAAGGCCTCTAGGCTTGGCATGCCAGCGCAGGTGGTTTGAGAATTGGGAGGTGGGAATTGAGACGTTATGTTTCTTATGTTCGCCCGGCTGGTTTACTGACGTGATTTCTTTGCACTTCGGTTCCACCCAAGATATGGATCATCGGACACTCTTATGTTTACTGGGCTGGGCAGCATGCAGCGGTTCGGCCTGAAGGCGAGCGGTTGGGTTTTACGTTTTTTCGGGGGTATGGTGTACACCTAACGGA